AGAAGAAGGAGAAGAAGAAGAAGAAGGAGAGGAGGAGGAGGAGCAGGAGGAGGAGGACAGGGGGAGGAGGAGGGGGGGGAGGAGGAGGAGGAGGAGGAGGAGGAAGAAGAAGAAGAAGAAGAAGAAGAAGACGAAGAATACAAAGAAAAAGGAGAATAATAAGAAAAAAAAGAAGAAGAATAAGACGAAGAAGACGAAGAAGAAGAAGAAGAAGAAGAAGGAGAAGAAGAAGAGGAGGAGGGAGAGGAGGAGGAGGAGCAGGAGGAGGAGACAGGAGGAGGCGGAAGGGGCCCAGGGCGGGGCGGCGGTCGCGGGGTTGCGGCGGCGGCACGTCGGCGACGGGCGCCCCTTGTGCGCGACTCTGGCGTGTTGGGGGGGTGCCTGTGGTGACGGCGAGCGGCGACGACGGCGACCAGGACGACAAGGACGAGGACGACGAGGGCGTGCGACGAGGACGGCGAGGGCGGCGAGGACGACAACGACGGCGGCCCGCCTCCCTCCCTCCGCAGCCTCGCTGACTGGTATCTCAAGAAGCGGCTGCACCGCACCGTGCTCCACACACACACACACCAAATGCCCCGTCAAGCACATGAGCGGCAAAGAGGAAGCATTTCTCACGAATGATGATGTAGCGGCCTTTCGTGGTGGCTTGCGCGGGACGCCAGCGCGGTACGCTGCACTGAGAACGAAGGCGCTTGCGCGCGACCTCACGCGGGCAGCTTACGCGCGAATGCCCGCGCAGCCGAAGCAATGTTCTGCGTCGTTCACGCGTCTTCTGAGTGACGCACTGCGCCGCCCTCTCCGCGTCTGTGCTGGAAGCCCTTGCTGCACCGATGGCATTCCTGGACCCTGCTGCCCTAGCCTCTGCCTTGCTCCTCCTCGGGGGGGCTCTCGCCGCGGGTAGAATTCACATGAAGGCAATCCTCGCGGCCATGCTTGATGAAATAATGCATCCTCTGTGGCCTGAGAGAACAAAACGAAAGCCACCAACAATGTTAGCAAACCCTCTGACCCGCAAACGTCAAGAGGTCAATCAGATGCGTCCACAAAGGGCATATACACAAGGAGGAGGAGGAGGAGGAGGAGGAGGAGGAGGAGGAGGAGCAGGAGCAGGAGAGGGAGGAGGAGGTGAAAAAGGAGGAAGAGGAGGAGCTCCGCGCGGATCTCTGGGGCCCCGCGCTGCCCAACCTTGGCGCGCAAGGTGCCCCGCGGGGAGGCGTCGTCAGGGAGGGGGGCCCCGCCCAGATCCAAGAAACCCTCGCTGGGCTGCGCGAGTGTATGCTTACTCCGAGTTTCTTAATAAGCGTCGGGGGGGCGTCACCCCCACCGACAGCCCCACATCGACCCCCGTCGCGGGCAGCCACCGCGCGCTGAAGGCGCTCCGACCCCCCTCGCAGCGCGACGACGCGGCGAGGTTGACCCCCGTCGGGGGGGTACCCCCCACACACGCTTACTAAGAAATGCGGAATATGCCGATTGCCGGTTGCTCTTCTTCGAGACCTGGCACCGACACCGCTACTCCCCCGACCTCTCTCGGGTTGCGTTCTGACCAGAAGGGCGCCGAGGGGCCTCCCAGGATGCCCCCCAAAGAAGGGGAAACGAGGGGATGGCAGCGGTATCGGTACCGTTCCCTCCTCTGAATATTTAGGAGCATCACAGATGGGGTCCGAGTATATGGGGTCAGATGATCGCGCCGCATCGCCAATCCAGCGCCGATGGATCGGCAATTAATCGCCGATGTATCCGCGATGCACCTGCGACGTCGGCGATGCATCGGCGCCGTCGACGCGAAGAACAAATCGGAATCGATATCGAGCGGCGCCGATGCATCGAGGCACCTGCGACGTCGGCGATGCATCGGCACCGTCGACGCGAAGAACAAATCGGAATCGACATCGAGCCGCGCCGATGCATCGACGATAAGGAACAATCCTCCGACCCCATCTCTAGGGTAGGGACCGACCGTCCCGACATTTATGTAGGCCTTTCACGGTTAATGCTAGGTGCTGGAGATGGGAGCGGACAGCGGGAGAGTATCGTAGACGTTCCACGATCTTTGTCTGAGTCAAGAATGCTCGAATCACAAAACCAACTCTCTTATAGCATGGAGCCGATGTGTCCAACATGACGGCCTGAGCCAGAAGTCTTCCAAGAACTCCACCGGAGACCCTGAAACCAATTCTCTGGTGGGCCAACCAGCAAGGCAGGACGCCTCGCCACCGCTGCAAGCTGGCTCGCGGCAGCGTGCGGGGTACACATCCGCGGGGGGGCCCTGCGCAGAGAGCTCGAAGGGTCGCCCGGGAGCGCTCTGGAGCGGCCAGAGGGCCCGCGGCGGGGGCTCCCTCGCGGATGCCCCCAGGCGGCCTCAGGACGGTCCTGAAAGGTGCCTGGAAAATCCCCCCAGCACTTCAGGACTTCGTGGTCTAACAAGCTCGTTCTGCTCTGCAACCTCATTATTCACCTTCGGGGAGGGGGCTCCCCCTTCCTTCTAACACCTCCCCTCATGGGTCTGATAATGGCGTTCCGCGAGGCGTTGAGGCATCCACCCCCCCCTTCATCCCGACCTCCACCACGCCCCCCTCCAACCCCCTCCAACCCCCCATCCACCCCCCGCCACCTCTTATTCCTTATCCGAGCAACTCCCCTGGCGAATGCCAGTGATACTTTTTGTCGCAGCCGCAAGCGAAAGCGCGGGCGGCGTCAAACGGGACGCTCAAATAACGCCAGTGTCACGCGAAGCGTCAAGAATTCCCCAGATGGCGCACTGGAGGAACTGAAGCATCTTTCCTCTCGCTCGCACAACGTTGCGCGAGGCTGGATCTCGATCACAAAAACTGACTTCTTTCCTCTCGTGCTGCCTCGAGAACCGAGCTGGACACGTGCTGGCGTGCGCTCTCGATCGCCCCGAGATGGGGAGGGACAATGACCAGAAACCGACGACACATCGCCGCTACATCGGCAATAGGCCCGCGGTGGGGAAACCTCACCTCACGTTCCTCGGCAGGCTGGCGTGGCTGCCCAGGCCCTGATCGGCCAGGAATGGGCGATTGGGAGTCGATGCTCCCCGCCCCGAGCCAGTTACCCCCCGTCCGTCGGCGCCCCTGACTGCACACATGCGCCCGAAAGCTCGGAGGTCCCCACGGTTCCCCCACCTGCAGTCTCGGGAGCGGCCAAGAGGGGGGCGTCCAAGAGGGGGGGGTGCAAATCATGACTGGCGGCATGTGCGCCGCCCAGCGGGGGGGCCAGGGACGTAGTGAAACAAGAAGAGGCGCCATGAGATCTGGGGAAATATCATGGCCCACGCCATGATATCCCCCCCCCTAGTCATCACCACCCTCTTTTCCGCCCCCGACCTGCAGTCGGCAACGCCAGAGCAGCCCACTGTCCCCAGTGGGCCGGGGCTCCCCGGCGAAACACCAGCCGCCTGCCTCCCGGAGGCGGCTGGGGGGCCGAAGTGGCCCAGCACCGGCTCCGGCCAGCAGAAAGAAAGGGGGAGGGAGGGGCCCCCGCGTCGCGAAAGCTGGATGGGCACGAGGGCGGGGTCCGCGGTTATGTTGATCCCATCGTACTAAAGGACCAAATCCCAGAAACAATTTCAAGCACCGAGAAATGTACCGAAAAAGTGTCCAACGAGGATCGCCTCCCAGGACCCGACACGTGAAATCCCTTCAGTTTCGCTACTTTCTTGGTGCTCGAAATTATTTCAGATGGTCAAGGCTGACGTAGTTAGGAACAGCTTTTTTAAGTCTGGGGACCGATTGCAATCGAACTTGCCTTCATCCCAACCTCTCGACCGATGTTCTCTGGGCTTCTGCAGCGCAGACCCCTCGGCCTCCTCCACGGCTCCCTCGCGTTGAGGACTCAGGCCGCGCAGCCCGACGGAGACGGCGTCTATCCCCACATGGGGGCCCCTGGGGGGGCAAGAAGGCCAGCGGGGCTACAGTCAAAATCTGTAATGAGGACGCGCTGCACGGACGCAAGACCCTTGGACGGTCCTTGGACGCCCCAGTTGAAGCAGTTCTAGCGGCGCACTGCCGAACAAACCGAAGGACGCAGGGGTTCCATTGGGAAGGTTACCCATCCTTACTGTGGATTTTCACTGTAAGGCCGTCCCATTTGGTAGTGGGGATCACTGGGCAGTCTTTGTTGGCCCAACTCGGGGGTACACGCGGGGGGAGGGGGGAGGGGGGCGTCCAGCCTCGATAAGAGTGCATCCGAAGAGCCCCCCCTGGGGGCGCGCCCCCGGACTTCCCCTCTCCTCTACACGGCGTCACGCTGTGGCTGGGGGCCGCGGAAGTGGGGACGAGAAATCGCCTCCGCGGGGAGGTCTCGGGAAGCTAATCGGCGGGGCGCCGAGGGGGGGCAGGGCCTCCTCGGAAGGCGGCGGGGTGTCCCAGCGGCAACCCGCGCCTTCTGCGAGGCCAGGCCGCGGCTCCGGAGAAGGCCTGGAGAGCTCCTCTCGGAAGGCCAGAGGCCGTCTGAGGAGGCCAGGCTGCCTCTCGCTCCCCCCCCCCCTGGGCGCGCCGCCGGGGTGCTGGTGCAAGGCGCCGTCCGTGGGGAAACCAAACTGATGCTGATGCCGCTCCTCCACGGCCCTCTCCCGGGGTGTGTTCTGACCAGGACAGCGCCGCGAATGAAGCCGTGGCGACGAGGGCGTCCCAGGAGGCCCAGCAAGGCGAAACCGAGGCAAGGGCAACCGTATCGGTACTTCTACTCGGCGCGCCGCCGAGATGCTGGTGCAAGGCGCAGCCCAGCGGGGCGCTCTCGCGAGGCCGTCCATGGAGGAGGAGAGAGGGGACCCAGGAGAAAGAGAGGAAGGGAATGGAGGAGGATGAGGAGGAGGAAAGAAAACGAAGAGGAGAAGAGGAAGGAGGAGGAGGAGGACGAGAAGGAGGAAAGAGGAGGGGGAGAAGGAGAAGAAGGAGGAGGAAGAGAGGGAGAAGGAGGGGCAGAGGCATAAGAGGGCGAGAGGGAGGAGAGGACGAAAGATAGTGGAAGGC